GAATTTTTTAATAATAGCATTTTATACCCACTGTATCCTACCAGGTGAAAGCTCTGCAGGAAATGGAGGTGAAGACTGGAGTTTATGGGTGTGTTTTGGAATCCCCTTCTGTTTCCAAGCAGATTCAACTTCATCTGTTTCAGCCTGTCCTCCCCGAGTCTCAGTAGTTTCATTACAAAGAGTTTGAGACTTCAGTGATGGCTGTCCTTGTTCAAGTTCAAAATTCATAATAAGGGAATCAACCAGAGAGTCCAATTCATCCAAGTTCATAAAAGGCATGGGTATTTTCTGGATAGGATTGTTTGCAGAAGTAGAAGACAAGGCAAATAAACTGAAATAGTTGTTAAAATATCCAGCTATGACACAAATATTTTCTGCAAAACTCCTGAGAGGGCTTGTGTTTCTGTACGACCCTATGAAAAACAGAAGCAAGAAGAATCAAATGCAGCATTTTGCAAAGAGAGACCAAGTAGCCTCCCTCCCTCTTGCTTCACAGGTCTCCTGTAGTCCACAGGTTACTATCAAGACAGGTAATAACCCAGCTAAATACCTTGTAATGTAGAAGAAACAATCTGACAGACTTCAGCTAGGCACTGCTCCAATTCCAAATATTTTGCAGCAATGTTAGTGCTTTTCTTTATTTCCCGATATAGAGATTCTTCTTCTGGTAATTGAGATTCTATTTCTTTCTGTATTAATAAAGAGCAATTGAAAGAGAATCAAATACATGACAGTATGTTAACTATTAAACATGCCTATTATGGATTCAGTCACATAAAACAGGCCAATGCTGAAACACAAAAGGAAAGCGATGCCAAGTCACAGAACGTAAGATAGCTCCAAAAAGAAGTGCAGATTGTTGACAGGAAAAAAAAAAAAAAAAGGCAAATAGAACTGTAAAATCCAGAAAAGGTTTGGCTCTTAGAAGATAGATTAAATCATCTATCCTGGCTTTTAATTCAAAATACCAATAACTATGGCCATAAACTATTGCAGTAGTTATAACACAATTACACTAGCATTACTGAACTTGAGGCTTTCACTTAAAAGAAAACAAATCAGGTGGTTAGGCTGTTCATGATGAGCACAAAAAGAAGGCAGATAAGATACAAGTGCCTCCAGAAATATTCTAAGTAAAACTAAAATCAAATCGTTTTTAGTGGAAATGCAGTAGCCAGAAAAAAGTTAGTGTTCCAATCAGACGAATGTCACCGAGACAGGAAGTGTCACCACGCAATTGTCAATATACAGAAGGTAGTTTCAGTTCCTCTTCTTCGTTAAATGCATCCTTTAAATTTAAACCCCAGACTCAAAGCACACATTTTGTGAAACATTTCTCTTACCTTTCTGCAATAAGAGATGTTATTTTCAAGGAATCTGGCTAATGCCACAACATTATCCTTTATTCGATTCTGAATCTACAAAGAAACTTTTAATTATATTGTACACTTGATTCAAGACAAAGTAAAAAGTACATTAATATTTTAGAAGGATAACAATGAACACTGGCATACTAATGAGAAAAATACTCAAAAGCAGAAGTAAAGTTTTCTGCAACATAACATGCAACTTTTCAAATAAAACGTAAACTGGTAGAAAACGTTAACTATATCTGCAAGGTTTTAAATAACCCCTTAATACGAGAGGATCGAATGAGCACATCTAAGTATTCGCTAAAGAAAGGTTGTCCTGTAATTTTTGTATCGCTGCCATTCTAAGTGGCAGGGGTAATCTCTTAGTTAATACCCTGGTGTTCTCTCACTGACTTTGCATTAGTTCCACCAGCAACAAGCATATACAGGAATCCTGCAGATACGTAGGAATCTGCTGCAAGTGAACAGCATTATCTGGAAAGCAGACTGTTCAATTCCTTTTGCTGGAAACATTAAGCCTTTGGGAGTTAAGCAAGCAGATAGGAACATAAAAGGTTTTGGACAGTTTCACTATTATCTGTAGGATTAAGAATGACAACAGTGAAAACCAGAGTAGGAAGAAATTTTTCCTTTCCTTGAGACAAGCAATTTATCACTCCTCTCCAACTGATTTGAACCTTTTATCCCAGGTCATGTAGTACAGATTTTTGAGTAGTAACAAATTGTTCAGAAATAAAGTATTTTATATATCCCAACTCATTAAGGAGATTTTCTTATGGACCACAGTTCTGCAAATTTCTCAACTTTGAAGAAAAAGAACAAACATAAAAACACATGAGGCAGAAGACAGGATTGCTCAGACACAGGTAAACGGTCACCTTTGGCCTTGCATGCTGTCTTATACAAAACATATTTATTCAGGGGAAAAGTGGCAGGTCAAGCCTATATATCCCAACGCTGAAAGGACGCATGTACACTATGTACATCTAGTACCTTGCTGAAGAACATTTCAATCCTTCCAAAGTATTTCCTTGGAATTCAGCCAGGCTTTCTGTTAAAATATCTCACCCACTAAGAAAGTCGCATATTTCTAAGGGGTACTCTAGCTTGCCTACTGGAATTTTCATAGCGTCAGAGAAATATTTTTAACTGTGGTGCTTATTCCTTATACTTTATTCTCTACTTTGCATAACTCCCTATAGTATCATCTTCCTCACGGTTTGTCACCTAAGCAAAGTAAAAGCACAGAGTAACAGGCTGTAGCTTAAAAAAAGCCCTTCCAGGCAAAAAAACCCAAACAACCCACTACTGAATTCAGCATGTAATGAGGTCCGTTCTGCTTTAAGTGTCAGAATACACTAGACACACCAATAATAGTATGTTTGTTTCATGAAAGAGCAATTCCTCCCCAGAACAACTCTGGCTTCAGCATACTGAAAAAAAAACCCAACCCCCAAACCTGTTCAATTTGATAAAATATAACTGCTAAACTGCTATGTGTGAGAGGGGGAAAAAAGTACACACACATCTGTTTATTATGAGGTAGTAGGAATATCTCATCTTAAAATTACAAGAGTAATTAAATTGAGGTCTTATTATGATGAGAGATAAAAGCTTCCCATTGATGTAATTCCTTTTCATATCACGATAAATCTGGAAGGTGACAGGAACAACTCATTAATACAATATAAATAATTTCCTATAAAGTGTAATAAAGAAGTTGCTCAAATTAAAATACCATTGCTGCATATCAGCCTGGAAGGTATTTGAAGGTCAGCTGCGACTTCTGTGAATGACACGAAATCAAGCAGGACATTTCTGACTTCTGTGCTATTAAATAGCTACTTTAGTCAAACAATTTCCCTCTAAAGTGCCCAATTCATCAGAGTGCTTCAGCATACCCCAAGCATTAAGCACGTGAGAAGACTAGCTCTTAAAAGATAACACTGAACTATTTTAATATTTAGATAGCATGCTGTTTGGGACTAGGACTGTAAGAACAATACATGACAAAATGAAGTCTTCAAACTTTCTAATAATCTTCCTGACAATAACAGCGAGTGTAGTAACAGCAGAGGTGATTAGTATTATCAGTATAAACTAGCAATTAACTTTCAGGATCGTAAAGTGTAACATATTAAATATGCAATCTTTTTACCAAACAAACTTAACAGTAGTATACAGAATAAAAGGTCCACTGGCTCCTTTGCGCCAGTTTTCATATTCTCCCTCTCTTTCATGGTTACACTGAAGTTTTACACAAAATGCCCTCCAATGCATGGAGAAATCATTCTAAATAAAATACACTTAAATGTTCAGTCTACATATGGGTGAAAGGCTAAACACTAAAAAATACTGCAAGATTGTAGTCAATATTCCCACTTACCATCCGTCTCAAACCTGCGTTACTAGTCATAACTGTATTCCTACTATAAACTTTCTAGTCAGAATTGCTGAAAAATAAAAGGACATGATGAAGTGCCTTTAAGACATAGTAGTAGTTTTTAATCTTACTTCCATCTCACCTCATTTTGTGGATATTGTTTCACGAGTTCTTTCTGCACCATTCTTGCTTTTTCCTGTACAGTATCAATGAGAAACTCCAGCCCTGAGCCTATTCCATCATAAATGGCAAGTACAAAGTCCTTTCAAAAAAAAGGTTCAGAACATAATGATTAAAGAAATTGATATGGCCTTGAGTTAAAACAGATTTTCCGTAGTGGGCTAGAAACATAATTTTGTTTTGAGCAAATTGTTCCATGCTGGTTTATTCAGTCACATGTCATTCTTGGACCACAGGAGCTCAGCACTTTAACCTCCTTTTCCTAACTTTCTTCAGATTTCTGAAAATTCTGCGTGGTACTTAATCACAGATTACTGAAATAAATATTGAATTTCAGTGAAATAGGTAGACTTGTACAATCTCAGTGCAGATACAATCCTAAGAGCACAGTATTTCTCTAAGTGGAAGTTATACAAAAACCACAGAAAAGTGTGGTTTTTTTAAGGAAAAAAACAAACCCAAACAATTTCAAGGGTATTAACACATATCCATTTTCACCATAAAAATGATTAGATTAACTCTGAACGTACTTAATTCAGTTAATCAAGTTGTTACATGTAACAATTTGCTTCTGAGCACAGTTAATGAAAATAAATGTGATGTCAACATTAAAATTACTATTTCTAATCACTATTTCTGACAAACATTTTTTCACCTGTAGACTAGTTGCAGGAATATTGTTCTCTTCAGAAAAGGAAATATCAGCTCTTGTGACTACTGCCAAGTGTCCTATGTATTTCATTGTTTGTTTTACCGTTTGGTTTACTTTGCTCCGTGCTTCTGTTACCATCGAGGATATATCTGAAGAACATCCCTGAGAAATAAAGGCATGTCATTCACTGAAGCTAGCAAGCATCTCTGGTCAAAGAGCACACGCTTTCTATAATGCAAGAGTTTGTAGCACACAATAGCTTGAGGCATTTTCAAGCTTTACACCTTCCTACTTCCAGTGGCTTATCTACCACAGCTAAAAGACCGTGCCTTGCAATCACAGAGAAGAATGGTATCATTGTACTTACACAGTTAAAAAAAAAAAATTACTCTTCACAAGGGTGTAGCATGAACAAGAGTAGTATTTACCAGCTGCTGGTTTGTAAGTTTATAAGCAGTAGCACTTCACAGCCTAAACTAGCATTTGCTCTTGTCACTGCATGTTTTATTTTCGCCTTTTCTGTTTAAGAACCAATGCTATCGTCAGGGCCTGGGCACAGAAAGGTCTGCATTACTCTGAACTAGCATACGGAAGTGCCAGTTTAGCCAGCAAAAATGCCCCCTTTGCTGTTCATCTTCCTTAGGTGTGTCCATTTGTCATTGCATATGTTGGACATTTAAGTGTTTTTAACAAGTCTGTAGTAAATATTGCATTAATGCACAGAACTTCTTACACACAGATGAATTCTTTAATATACTTTACCTGCAATAGTAACTGTAAATAACCTCCCAAGTTCTTTACTTCCTGTTTTATTTCTTCATCAACTTTTATAGATCCAGGGCACTTTTGGACATTGTTAAGCCAGAGCTTGGTTAGAACCACAAGCTGGTCAAAAGCGGAGATAATTCTGATGCTGTAGGACTGAGCAGCATGATCAAGAGAGAAAACTGCAAGAGAAAGAGATCTATCAGAAGGTCTCCTTTCAAATGAAAGTAGGAATGTTAATTCTTCTGATAGGCAAACATAAGAATGCTTGTGCATCTGAAAGACAAGTCATTAGTAACGTTTACTTTAAACTGTTATGAAAATGAGACTTACAGTTCTCTTGACATTCTTCATCTTGCTGTTCATAGGCTTTTGAAATGGCAGAAACTCCAGAGAAAATGATAAACAAATTAGTTAGGAGACTATGTGCTATGCTCTTTGCTCCTCCATGGGTCTGTTCCAGTAAATCTAAAGCTGAACTTATAGATTCTTTGCAAATTCCAGGAAGAAACGATTCAGAAAAGCTTGGGCATATGCTGGACTTATTCTGTGAACCTGTATGATGTAAAAGCAAAACATCTATTAAGAGTGTCTTGCATATGTGTGAGCAGTCAGCATGTCTTTAATGACTATTTTATATTGCTTCTTCAGAACGTTCAACTACTCAAGATAGGAGGTCAGAAAAAACGTGTATACAACGTTCTACATAGTTTCTAGATTCAGTTAGTACAAAGACAAATTCCATAGTGAAATTCTTTAACATGAATCCATCTTTTTCAACAATCGAACCTACAGAGACAGAAAATAACAAAATCCAGCCAATCTAAAATAACTAAATGCATAAGAATATTTGGAAGACTGAAGCAGCTAGTATTTCAGAAAAAAGTTTATAAAACCTTACAAAAAGCTTGGGGGAACCTTGGTAGTTGAATGAATAGCAACAACTCAAACAAAGTCTCCAAATTATTATACCAGGATTCAGCTTCAGGCAATTTGTTACATGAACTATCGTTCTCCAGTTAACCCGCATAGTTAAGTGGAGTAATGTTTTAGATAAATTCCTTAAATAAGGGTCATAAGAGCTAGTCAGGAAGTTTTTGTCCTAAGAAAGCATTATCAAAAATACAAAAACCCCCTACTGTTAACAGCTTGACATCATAAACTTGAAGATATTATAAACAGGACGTTTTTCATTTTGTTTTCCAACCCACACTTTTTTTTTTTTAACGACTATTAGAAGCGCATATGTTTTATACATGTAGTAGTTTCAAATTCTCAGTATGAAATGAAAGGTGTTCTGCCGTATAGTAAGTACCTGATATATAGGAAGTCTGTATATTCTGAATTGGTTGCAATTTTATCTCAGACAAACATCCAGAGATTCTCTTGTTCTTCATGAAACTTCTACTTCTAGGAAAGGATGAGAGCGAAAACATGAAAAAACTTTAAAAGAAAAGAATCTCTCTCCCCGTAACGTTCAATGAACATTGACAGATATCAGGCAAACAAAAACAAACATTTCAATTCACGGAACACAAAACCTAAACCAAAGTGAAAGCAAATGTATACATAACTTTTCATTTAATTTCAAAGTTTGACATTATAGTAAGGTGAAAGAAGAATTAATAAATAAGACTGCGTTAGTGGCACAGAAGCATGTTTAGATAATGAGACAAATTATTTTTTGCTTCAAGTGTAGATGAAGGAACTAGAAATCAGCATCACCTTCTTCTGGAAAGAGAGGAAACTGAGGCATCTGAAAGGTCAGGTTCCCACTCATCAGCAGGGTCATAAAATACATCAGCAGCTTTATTGCTATCATTACTCTGACAAAATAAAGAAAACACAGGGGAGGAGGAGGGTTAAACAGAAATAGAGTGATAATAAAGCATACAACATATAGATGAAGACATGTTCTACTAACAGTAAAACAGACGTTTTAATGTTTTTTCTTTTGTTAGGATATGTATAATCTAGAAGATAACTGACTGCCAGCCAGCTTGAGGTGTAAGTGTTTGAAAACAAACTAAAACAAGCCAAACATTTAGTGAAGGCGCCTAGCTACCCAGCGTCTGACACACAGGAACGCCAAGTACTAAACTTTTTCACAGCTCTCTCCACATGCCAGATTTATTAAAAATCTGGGCGTATAATTTACAGTTTTTATTTATTTTTACATCTGGATTTGTGTAACAGTTTTAGCAATAGTTTTCCACAGGAAACAGAATCCAGTCTCTGATATTGCCAAGATCCAAACAGTTTTTAGTAGTAAATATGGTAATATTCTTCTGTCACTGGAAATACTTGCGTATTACAGAGTTATATCATAAAGGAGTGTTTCCTCAATTTTTTTCTGGCTTTTCTTTGATGGCTTTTTTCCTTTTTGGACAAAATATTGAAAGATTTTTATGTCAGATATATACTCATATATGAAGAAGTTATTCTTTCAAATAAAAAATAATTTTTTAAATGAAATGCAATTATTTTCTAAGGTAGAAAAAAGGAGCATTCCAAAATGTAGAAAGCCCTCATATTTTTTCCTACCAGCACCTTCAGTGCTCCAAGAATTGAGATTTCATCCTCTGCAAACTTCAAGTATGCTATTTATGCCAGAACGTGATTTGCATTCGGAAATAGCAAGCATCCAAATACTTATTTATATGTTATTTGAAGCAATTTCTACTCATTTTTCAATACTGCTCCAGGCTAAACATAACACAGATATTGGAATGAAAAGAGTTTATATGATCAGGAGAATCACAAATTCAAGCACAGAACAAATTTAGACAAGCTGTTCTCGTAATCTAAAACCTGGTCTTAAATATATTTTTTTCTTTTGTGTATTAATCAGAAAAACCCCCAAACTAGTATAGCATAAAATACAAGATCATTACGATTCTACTGGATTGCTTTGGATCCTTCCTTCACGTTAACCAGCTCTTGCTCATCTCCAAGAACTTTCCTTCTTTTACCCTTTATTATTTCACTGCCGTCTAAAGCAACTTGCAATTCATACGGCAGAAACCAAAAAGCAAACAAAATGCTATGATCGGCCCTGGAGATTGGAAAATCCCAGAATACTCTATCGCCACTAAAAAAAGGAAAGTACTTTTAAGGGCCACCAGATCTGATAGTCTTTTGGGGGTTTTTTTGTTACGTAGTTCTTAGGGCTCTCGAGTCTTCAAGCTCTAAAACAGAGAAAAAAAATGCAATGGAGTGCAATGAAAACACCGTCTGTTCACGTGGAGCCAATAAAGATAAACTTACTTCTTATGACACTTCTCTCTTTAGGAGATAAAAAAAATACCGTTCTCCCAGTAAATAAGAGGTGATACTGTAATCTTATCTGTATTCAATAATTTGGAGCCACTGTCTACCTTTGTGTAATTACAGAGATTTTAGCTGATGGTTATAGTTTTTTGTGGATACAGAATCAAATGTAGGCACTGTTCCCACTTCTCTGTTTCTTCTATTTTACATCCTCCTCTTCCATACAAAAGATAGTATGATATGCTCCAAAACACAGTACTGCACATTTAGAGAGGTGCAGTACAAAAATACCCAGTTTGTCTGATTAAAAGCAATGGAATTAGAAAAAGGGATTAATGTGTACCTTAATTGTCATTTTATTAAACAAGAAATGATGAAAAATGCCTTTAAAAACCTCCCATTGAAGAACCTAAAGCACATACAGACAAAAGCAATCAGTAGCACATTAACTGACCAGAACCAAAGAAAAACAGATAGAATGTAATAATGAAAATTCAAGTGATACCTTTAAAAAGTCAAGTTTTCCTCTAGCACAGATAAACAATTAAACAGCCAGAGGAACCACAAAGCAGCCCTTGTTTTACTACTTCACACTTGGTACACAAAATGACCTGAATGAAATAATTGATTTCTACTGTCCTCTTTCTGTGTGATGGACAAATGTGTGTACACGTGTTTATTAAAGAATCATGTGTCTTGGTGTTTAAGATCACATAAACAAAATAATCCCAAGATTTTCCTCCTGTATGATTATCAAAAAATCTTATCTTTAACAACATATTACTGATTATTAGTGGGTTTTCTTCAGTTGTTACTGACCTCATAGAGTTCTTTCATCGCTGCTAGTTTGCATTCAAATTTCTCCAGGCTCCAGAAAGTTGCTATTCCCAGTTTGATGTTACGAACTTGCACCGGAACAGAAGACACTGTTCCTGTTTTATCATCAATTTTGTCGTGCCTAAGAATTTGAGAAAGTTAAAAAAAAAAGAACAATAAAGACAAAACACATTATTCATATTGCAAAAATAAACAAGGTACTTGTAGATAGGATTATAACAGAGAATACAAATTTGATTACAAACACAGAAATTACTTGAGACATCATGTATGTCACAAAACATACAGTAGTGGAGCCTTTAAAATTATTTTTATGTAACGGAAAAAAGGAACCCCTGCGTTCAGAGACAGAAGTAGATACTAGCATACAAATTCCTGGCTCTCAAGAAACTCAGGACCAAACACATGCTACAGAATTCTACCGGCAGACTTCTTGTTGAAGGATATGAAAAGACAACATCTGAAAAACAAAGCAATACCTACACCTACTAGAAAGTCCTAGCTTACCTGCATTTACTGTAGCATTTTTTTGAAACGATAGAGAGTTTCCTCTGCACTAATATATCTCTGCTCGCGCTAAGAACACAACCAATATACAGGTCCACTTCTAGAACACTCTTCAGCTACGACTAGCAAGTAGCATGGCATAGCAAGAGATCTGTGGAGTGAAAAAGTGGGTCCCAAGCACTCAGTATCCACTATATGCATGTTCTGAGATTTTTACTTTGAACGACTTCTGTCGTGGTCCTGTGAACTGAACACCTCCTTGTGGCTGGCACATATTTCCCGGTTTAGTTTTGCCCAAAAGGAATGCAGTTAGTGTGCTTTACGACCCCTTTAACATGTGAACCAAAGCAGGATGGACATGGGCATCAGAAGATTCACCTCCAAAGCACACTCGATCCAAAATTAATTGTCTGTAGACATACCTTTAAAGTGTTGATCTAAAATTCAAATTTAAAATTCACATTTCAAACTAACAAGGCTAAACTACACACTTAACTAAAGCTAGTGTGGAACAGTGATTTGTCATGTTCAATTTAAAATTGTGAAAAGAAAAAAAATAAACAGCTTACTGCACATCCAGAATTCACACCTCCCCCTTTTTTTTGTAATATAAATATATATTATTATGTATACCCCCTTATAATTAACTCAGATACTCACCTGTAGAAAACAGTGTTTTTCCCTAATTCATTACTAATGGTGTTGGCCTCTTTGATCATCACAGATAGCTTCAGAGAATTCCAGTTAAGTGGAACTAAAGAGTATAGCACATAACGATTAAGCGGATCAAAACAATGCGATGCAACAACTTCAGGATAAAAAAAAAAAGGGGGGGGGCAAAAAAAAGAAACCACAACCAAAAACCTTGAATGGAATTTAGCCTACAACAGTTCTGTGAATTCCCAATACATTGGGAAAAAATTACCCTCCCAGCCAAGATAACCCTTTATAAAAGGTCAGGTAAAGGGTATTTCAGAAGTAGAGGCATAACACCAGACACTATATATTAGACTAATCTGAGATAGGAAACTAAACAGAATCAATTCTGTTACTCCAGTTTCCCCAATGAGTTAACACCTAACTAGTTCAACCAGATGGGGGAAGAACTTCTAAGTAAATCGGGGTAAATACAGACTACATGTATATCCAGCTAACCACCCTGAGCGTGATTAAAACAGAGCTTTTAGCACTGTCCGATACATACGGGTTATGAATGGAAAGGATCATAGCAGCCAAAAGGCTGCTCTTGTTCAGGATTGCTAGAGAAGCATTAGAGGAAGAGAAAAAGCTTCTGGATCCATATCCACTAAATCCAAGCCCACCAAGCAAAGAGAAGTCAGCATTGCCCTTGCGACACTGTGTACATACGTACTAGTCATAGTTTTATTCCCACTTCCACGATTCTTCTGAAGGGTTTGTATTTCTTCAGCAATCTTCTGCTTCTCAGCTTCCAGAGCTTCAAGTATCTTTGCATGACGAATAGTATGATCTTCTAGAGCCTGGGGGAAGAAAAAAAAAAATCCAAAACTCTGAATTCTGTGTATTTAAGCAAAATTTTTTGTTGCTGTCATTTTATGGAGTCTCAGAACAGAATGAAATTTATATTGGACATCTGCCATATCAATATGAAACCCTCCATCTTCAAATTCTGACAGTTTTCTGGTTTTGCTTACATATTGACATGCTTAAAAAAAATACTGGAATTAAAAAGAAACAACTTTAAAAAAAAAGTCATATTTGTTGCAGCTGTCAGATATATATGAACACCAGCAAAAACACAGTCATTACTTACATTAATCCTTGGAGTCATAACTCTAGGCACAGGCAATGGTCACTAAAGTTTGGTACATGAACAAAACAGTCCACATTATGTAAGAAATAAGGTCAGCATTAGTTTATCCCCAAATTTAATACAATATCATATTCAAAGTGTAAACAAAACATCTGTTCTTTTGCATAAAATCATGTAGAAAAATACTTCAGAAACATTCCACTTAAAAGATTTATTAAAAAAAAAACAAACAAAACACACACAAAACAAAACAGTTTATCACAAAAAGCTTTTTTTTTTCCTTCAAGTTACCTGCTTGGTAGCTAAGGCCTCCATTTCTAAACGCTTCTTATTGAAGTGTAGTTCTAGCTCAAGATTTTGCTTTGCCTTCTCTAGCTCCTGTATTTTAGTTGCAGCTTTTTGGTTATTCAGTTCTTGGATTTGCTTCTTACGAGATTCTTCTCTCTAACATAAAAAAGGACAGATGAGAGGAGGTGTACCACTCCTACAGCATTTCTGATCCATCCCTTAGGCAGATATTAAGATTTATTTTCACTTCAATACATTTAAAACATGCAGCCCTTGCGGACTACCTAGTCCGGTGTCAGCAATGAAAGGTTATATCCCAGTTCACAAGCATCACATTATGTCTTCTAGAGCACATTTAAGTAATAAGATACTCCATCATTATTGTTGTTTTACCATGATGTACTCTTCTACGTAGACTTATATATATTGTAGAAGTATTTCAAAGACTAACAACAAAGCAGCATGCAAACTTGGAAGAAAAAAAAAGCCATATTAACTAAAATACTATAGTAATTTTAAAGTCTCATAGAATAAGTTACATTTTGTAGGGATTTTTCTTCGTATACAAGTTACACCCTCATCAAATTCACACTGGATTAACATTTTAGTTCCTGACTAATTCTACAAACCAAAATCCCTAAAATAATTCAGAAGGGGATACCTTATACTTTATAACTTCTTGTGTTAGCAAGGCTGATTTTTTTTTAAAAAGAAAAATAAGGCTTCGCATTGCCTAAGACACTGTTATAATATGCAAGACCAAAAAAACAAAACCCCAAACAAAAAACCCCAAACAAGCAAATAGAAGCCCCATACTACAGCTTCTGTTTCATTTTATTGGTAAGTTTTATTTAATGATGCAATGGCAACTTACCACCTCTGCTTCCAGTGATTTTATTTTGCTTTCATAAGCTTCTTTTTGTGAGGTCAGTTCTTGCTGAACCATCTCTTTCGCAATTTGGACACTTTGCATCATTTCTTCCTTGGCTTTGAGTCGTGCCTCTTCAATTTCTGATTCAAGCCTACAAGTAGAAGTATCATACATTTAGAATGCTGGCCTTAGTCTCTTATAGGCTGCATAGAGATTCTAATATTTTCTTCTATCACGACAGGAGCCTCCAATTTTAACAGTAAATATGAGGGTTTGTTTTGTTGTTGTTTTTTTTTTAAAAACAACTTTTATACTTCACCTAGATATTTCTGATTTCATAGGGAAAATGTAGACACCGGTAAAGACGGAAGACATTCCAGAATTTTAAAATCTACTTGATTTCCGTGTTTATTTTATTATGCACCTTTAACAAAATTAAGAACTGTAATAGAAACTCAGTAAATCACATTAAGATGCAGAAAAGTAAATTTTATATCAAAGCCTTGCGGTTTTATAACTCCCAGGAACAAAGCAAGTACAAATAACACTTTACTGTCTCTCAAATTCTCCACCATCACAGAAGACCAAGGTTGTAACTTTGGGTTCTTCTCATTTTATTAAAACACTTGCTTTTCAGGCTTTAAATCTCTCTAAAACATCAAAAGTCAATTTCAGACTCATTATGTGCTTGGAAAGAAAAGTAACTGAAGAGATACACTACTTTGAGGACCTCTGGAGGTCAGTGTTTCTTTAATAGTTTCTTTAATATTCTTGACAACTGGACTAGACTGTGGTGATCACCTCTTAGAGGTATACATTCATTTCAGCTAAGTCTGGGACTTCCATTTCCATTATAAATGGAGTTAACAATAACCTTGCTATTTTCCAACTTTCCCTTATTGTGAAATAATTAATAATCTTAAATTTCTTATTTCTTAAACTAACTGCACGGTTGCATTAACAACTGAATTTATTTTTAGAACAAGAAGATAAAATAATTCAGAAGGGGATACCTTATACTTTATAACTTCTTGTGTTAGCAAGGCTGATTTTTTTTTAAAAAGAAAAATAAGGCTTCGCATTGCCTAAGACACTGTTATAATATGCAAGACCAAAAAAACAAAACCCCAAACAAAAAACCCCAAACAAGCAAATAGAAGCCCCATACTACAGCTTCTGTTTCATTTTATTGGTAAGTTTTATTTAACGGTGCAATGGCAACTTACCACCTCTGCTTCCAGTGATTTTATTTTGCTTTCATAAGCTTCTTTTTGTGAGGTCAGTTCTTGCTGAACCATCTCTTTCGCAATTTGGACACTTTGCATCATTTCTTCCTTGGCTTTGAGTCGTGCCTCTTCAATTTCTGATTCAAGCCTACAAGTAGAAGTATCATACATTTAGAATGCTGGCCTTAGTCTCTTATAGGCTGCATAGAGATTCTAATATTTTCTTCTATCACGACAGGAGCCTCCAATTTTAACAGTAAATATGAGGGTTTGTTTTGTTGTTGTTTTTTTTTTAAAAACAACTTTTATACTTCACCTAGATATTTCTGATTTCATAGGGAAAATGTAGACACCGGTAAAGACGGAAGACATTCCAGAATTTTAAAATCTACTTGATTTCCGTGTTTATTTTATTATGCACCTTTAACAAAATTAAGAACTGTAATAGAAACTCAGTAAATCACATTAAGATGCAGAAAAGTAAATTTTATATCAAAGCCTTGCGGTTTTATAACTCCCAGGAACAAAGCAAGTACAAATAACACTTTACTGTCTCTCAAATTCTCCACCATCACAGAAGACCAAGGTTGTAACTTTGGGTTCTTCTCATTTTCTTAAAACATTTGCTTTTCAGGCTTTAAATCTCTCTAAAACATCAAAAGTCAATTTCAGACTCATTATGTGCTTGGAAAGAAAAGTAACTGAAGAGATACACTACTTTGAGGACCTCTGGAGGTCAGTGTTTCTTTAATAGTTTCTTTAATATTCTTGACAACTGGACTAGACTGTGGTGATCACCTCTTAGAGGTATACATTCATTTCAGCTAAGTCTGGGACTTCCATTTCCATTATAAATGGAGTTAACAATAACCTTGCTATTTTCCAACTTTCCCTTATTGTGAAATAATTAATAATCTTAAATTTCTTATTTCTTAAACTAACTGCACGGTTGCATTAACAACTGAATTTATTTTTAGAACAAGAAGATACAATACTTACTGTGTTCTCTGTGCAATAAGCAGCTCATTCTTTGCAAACTCAAAATCTTTTGGACCATCATGCAAAAACATAGTCCCACAAGATGGCCTTTTAACTTTCTGAACTTCTACTGGATGATTAAACCTGAAATAATGGTCTCCCCCAAGGATCACTCGATCACCCTATTGGGAATGGGGGGGGAAAAAAAGGTTTGTTCTATAACTTTTAGATTTATAAGCAAATTTACAGTGCTTAAAACATAAAAGGTGGGGCTAGAAGTCAAAGAGGAAGAGACAAACGTTTATGGTTTCAGAGCCTTCTAAGAAAGCTTTAGTATTACAACTTCAGACCGGTTAAGAAATCCACACACGCACATATTTCTTTTACCAAATCAATTACTTACATGATGCAGAACTGTTGGGTCTAAAATGCATTTCCCATTCACGTACGTCTTTGCTTCTCTCAGTGGAATAATACTCACTTTGCCAACAGTATTTTTTATAACACTGAAAACAAGAAACATTTGCGATATCAGTACTCATGTTAATTGCAAATGATGTTTCTTAATAGACTAAAATTCATGCTTTAGATAGTGTCCTGTTCTTGTTTTTCCAGATGTGGATTGTGTTCATACTATTTAGTTACAACATACATAATTAATGGGTGACAACCTGTATTTTGGAAGAGAATCGATACTTAAATCTAAGAAGAATCCACTGCTAAAATATCACTACAATACCCTGTCATCTGAGCATTTCTTTGATAATGCTTACTTTCCCAACATACCCACATCTTTCATGTTTTTAGTAATTTATTAGTTAAGTTTCTTCCAGCATTTTCTCTAGGATCAATTGCATGGAACGCACTTTAAACAATATTTCTGCAATACGGCCAAGTTGCTCTCTACTTTTAGTTTTAAGTAAGAACTGTCAAGGCATTTCACTTTTCCATTGAACTTCATGTAATACAGTTATCACACAGCATCATTTAATCAGGTCCTTCTCCAGCATTTCTTCACAAATAGAAAATTTTGCTACATGAATGAAATGAACAAAGAAATTAAACTACTTTGGTCAACAGACTTCTAGAGGGAACAGAAGAAGGTTACCTTAATAATTGAACAGTACAAAAGTTATCCCTGAATACTATTTTCCTGGTTAGAAACCCATATTTTGTTACTGCCAGAAGGAAGAGTGACTCCAAAAGAAAGGGAAGGGTGAGAAGAAATATTTCCTGCTCTCACTTAAAGTATAAAAAGAACACTACATACCAATGGTTATCAGCAATTAACACTCCGGAAAGCTGGATATCGTGTTTCGAATTTGGTGTATACCTTCCAACCGTAGTTTCGCCTTCTTTGATCATATACAACAGCACCTCAGAAAGCTGAGGATCTTCATTGAGATTGACAAGGTTTGGTAAATGATTGTCCATTTTGAATGCAATTCCTGCTTTCTAGATAAAAGAGAGCTCTGCATAAAAAAACAATTTACTTTGTGCATTCAAATATCTATATTAAATTTTTCTAAGAAGTCACAGTAGTCTGTTAAAAGAATAGCATTAAGGAAACCAAATCTTACAACTATTCTAATTCTTCTGCAAGGCTTGCTGATGTTATACTTTCTGTACTATCTCCTATAGAAAGTGAAGTGAAGAAAGAAAGAAAATGTACCTGCAATTCTTCTATATCTTCTAATTTCCTTTTCTCTGCTTGTTCAAATTTTTCTTTCCAGGCCCTTAATATATTGAGGGGAAAATAACACAACATATTAGGAGAAAAATTACAGCATATACATTTTACCATTTCTATTTTAAAGTAAGACATTAACGACTGCCCGACCTTTGCATTTCTGCCATGTCCCTCTCCTGCTGGTGCAATTTTACCCTCAGAGATGTTACTTCCTGCAAATAACGTCTGTATTTTTCAGGATCAGTGTTCAGAGCGCTCTTCTGAGCTGCCTTCAGTTTTTCAATTTCAGCTTTCAATTCTACATTAGACAAACCAGACACACAGTACACAAAAAATGAAGACAAAATAGGGTTTAGACATTTCAGTATGATACTAGAAAATTCATCCTGTTATTTAATCAAAAATGAAACACCTTTCCCCATTCCAGGTTCTCAAGCATAGCCTAAGATATTATCTGAACTTTGGTAAAAAAAAAAAAATCACAAAGAAGAATTAATATTAAAAGGAAGATATCCCAGGTCGTATTCGCCTATTTGACAAGTGGTCAGTCAACACAATAGATTATTAGTAGTAACAACTCTTCTTGAGCAATAAGTTAAACACACATGCAAATGAAAAAACCCTCAAAGACTGCAGATGTCAACCTCACCTCTGATCAGCTTGGCATTCACATCTTCATTTACTTTAGCAATGTTGATAATTGAACAAGCTTGTTTTGCATAGCGAAGAGTGCTGAGTGTTTCTTCTGTACTGCTGGCAGCTGGACTTACTGTGGCAATCATAGCAGTTTGTGAATTTCCACCAAGACTTTCCTTTAACAACCTTCATTTGACAGGACAGTAGAAGTCAATCCCCAGCCCCCACATTGAAATAAAAATTAAACTTCTCAATCTGAACAGATTAAATACAAAACATCTAGGGTCTTGCTACTTATTTGAGAGTGACTGTTAGCTACTTAAAATACAAACCAAAGTCCTGTTTGTTCTTTACCTGGTGCAACAGGCTAATTTCTTCCCTTCAAAGGTCATGCGAGAGAGAGGGAGGGAAGGAGGGGACGTGATGCCTCCTCAATAGAAGAGGAATCCACAATCTGAGAAAGCCTTTATTTCTATATAAAAAATTCTGGTGTACATACCAAGTAAGGACAGATTCCCGGTAAGGAATGAAAGTTTTCTTTCCATTTCGAGATTGTTTAGAGAGTGCAGAAATAACCTTTCCAAGGGTTAACAGTGATTTATTAATATTCGCACCCTCCTACACAAAGCAAAAATAAAACCAATTATAATACAGTTGTATTTTCTTGTGTGATGTTACTGACTGTACTGTTGATTTAATTGTGCTTATTCAATGTATGGTACAGCAGTACCATATTAAACATCATCACTCATTAAAAAACAACAATAAGATGCAACAATATCCTAGAAGATCTTCATTTGGAAAGAACAGAGGCCCTGGCTTTAAAATAAGCAGTGTTAAGAACCATCAAACTTATGAAGGCAGCTTGAAAGAAATTCTCTCATTAGAAACTCTATTTACTTAAATCCCAAAAAAAAGGGCAAGCCCCAACTCCGCGGGATATCTGATTCATGATCTGGAAAGTCATGCGGATAGTTTTTCCTCGTTCCTTTTAAAGGATCATTAGGCCTGCATAGCAAGGGGAGTGCTGTCCTAAGCAAGATGTGGCCTGCCGTACTGCACAGTCAAAACAGCTTTTCTTAGGGCCATCCACCCTCACTAGCAAAATGCTATGCGATACGTGTAAGCACAAGGGCTACATATCCTTTTATAACTACAGCTCCTGCCCAAGAGTCCTGGTAGGTGAGGATGCTTTGGAGTTTAGGGGTATTCTTTAGAGTCGATCCTTTTCCACAGATTTCCAATCCTGGTTTACCTTCAGCCTTTCTCCAGTGGTCTGAGCTGTTGAGCAGCATTCACTGCCAGCTAGATCAATTAGATTTATGTGACTGGTAAGCCTACGATCACATTGTTCTTCATCCACAAATTCTACCTGGAAAAGAGGGAGATGTTTGCATTCGAACCAAAATAAAAAGCCTCAGGACAAGCAGAAATCTAAGAAGCTGTTCACTTTAAATACATAAAAACTTGACACTTCCATTTACTTTTTGACAGGATACCTTCATGTACATCCCTTGAAGGAGACCAAGTTTAGACTTTTAAGCATAGTATCAATTGTTTACAGTTGAATAATACAGTTGAATAGTATAAGCATAAACTGCACAAACAACAGATTAGCAAACTGTGGGTTTGGGTCTGAAGTTTGACTATTGTGGCTATCCAAAACCCACAGAAATCAGTGAGCTGTTACTGACTTAGACCAATGAAGATCAGTTAAGTAGTCAGTGGAAAAGTCTCGAGACTAGTCCTGATAGAGAAAAGAAATAACCTAGTGGCGAGAATGGTGAGGGGAAGAAGGAAGAAGATTAGGAAATCGGGCCGAAAAATTAAACCAACCAAGAACAACAAAACCACCAAACCAACAAGTTATTCGTGAATGGAGAAAATTGACAGACTGTAGACCTCTGAGGACTTCTACCCATTTCACTTCTGTTTTCAGGCTCATCTCACTAAGTCAGGTTTTGTCTCTTACACATCTGTAAATCAGATGAGGAGTTGTAGTCCCTATATCCTGGAGACACATGGGTGAGAGAGGTATCCTGAAGCAAGGAAACATTTACTCAGTGAACTGTGTTGAAACTGAGCAGTAACTGCATTCCCTACCATTGTTCCAGCTCATCACCTGCAGGAACTCAGCACAGCTATCCACCTTGTGTAGCCTAACCTTCTTAGAAGCTGAGTTGTGTTGGCAGCAGTGTGAAATCAGGTCTGGTCTCAATCTGGATTCCAGTTACGTCTCAAAACTCACACTCAGAAGCTTGGAACTACTCCTAGATCTGCCGGTCTAGACATATTTATATTGCTGCTATAAATATATGTAGCACAGAGACATCAGAATCTACTCAAAGCATGCAAAATAAAACAAGTTTTGCTGTGTAGAAAGCCATGTTAAAATGCCCTGTGCTTTACTCATCTTCTTCAAGTATATTCTGACAACAATTTTCTAGGCAGCACACAAAACAACTTTTTACTACCTGATTTGAACAGATATAAAACACTCAGCAATACCTTGGTTTGCGTCATGACAAGGGTGAAGACAGAATGAGATCTAGAGCTCTTGTCATTCATTACTGTAGCAGCTGTTGCTCTCTGCTTATTTCCTAGTTCAAGCCAACTCTGTAAGAGATAAAAGTCAGGATGTGAAACCAAAACCTACTTTGGGTAGTTAACTGAAGATTAAAATGTTTGCAAATAAAGTTATTAACACAAATGATGACTCTATAAGGGAGGAATTAAAACTTAAGATTAAGAGATAGCCATGTGAAGAGAGTGACACTTGCCTGTATGCATCTACTTAGCTCCATTATATAGGACTAGTCTTCATTATCCTTTTACAAAATCAGCTGAAATATCATAGACTACTGGGCAGTCTGTAAAGCATTTTCTTCCCATCCATGGAATTTAGTTTCCAGCAGTGAAGGAAGGAGCAAGTAGAAATATTTGTATTCCCTTTTGGTAACCAAATAACTCTTACCTGGATATCAGAGTAAGAACTGACAACATTCCTAAGGTGGGGGAAAAAGAAAAGTTTGGCTTCAGACTGTTTTCTTTCTACAGTTTTCCCTGCTGCCTGAGTTCTGAAACATTTCCCCAGTTACAGACAAAATACAAATATACCATGAAAGCTCCAGTTGTCTTGAGACTTTCACACCCTTATTTCACTAGAGCAATACACTAAAGGAAATACCTCAAGTCAAGCTAGACATGGGTACGCATTTTTGTAAAACTATGTGATACTAAGATCTTGCCTCATTTACTGGTGAGTACACAAGCTTTCACAGAGCCTCGAGATAATAATTAGCACACTCTTCCAGGATTACACCATACATCTATTAAAATGAGAACAGTTAAGACTTACACTGTCAGGCCTTCCACATATGGTCCTAACACTGGATGTTCTCTTACACGAAGCTGGTGAGAATAATTTTAATAGAAAAATTATTAGGAGTGCATTAGTCAGACCTAGCACTCAGGAATACCTTAAAATTAAGAGAAAGTCTATCTACGTCCCTAGAATGACGTTTTGCTGATGATAAACTTAGCATGAGTCATCTAGAACAGTATTTTCAGGAAAATACCTACAACTGAATTTTTCTGGCTGCCTGAGAAGTCACAGCAGACTGGACCAGGCCATTGCTCACAGTCAACTGCAAGAACATGTACCTTATAGAAGATATTTATGTAAGGGGGAAAAAAAAAAAATCTTTTCTGCAACATAAATCTATTGTTTCCAAGTTAAGTGGCTTAGCTCAAAAACACTGACAAAACTCAGATGAAAGCACTCCTACTGTAAACTAGACAGTGCGGTCTTTACTTCTATGTAACTAGTCCACATAAGTCCCAAGTTTAGGATAAAGGACTTATTTCAACCACAAGTTGAATGTAGTGTGTCTTCTTTATCATAAACTAATACTCATAGTTTACACGAGTGGCCTGTATAGTATTCAATATGTCGAAGTACAGAAAGTATTTTTTTAAAATAAATCAAACGTGATAAATTCCTTCCCTACATCCCCTACTTAACACAAGTTTCTTTAATTTATGGTTTTACATATTCTAACACACAAGCATAAAAACTAGCTAAACTAGTTTAACTAGTCATCCTGAACTAGTTAATCAGGTCACTGATTTCCCCCCCCCCAGCTTCTTGGGAAACAACCAACAGGAAAAAAAAAAACCCCAAACTTCCTGACAGCCCCATGGCTCTAAGCAGTAAATTATCCAGGGCAAAGAATCTGAAAGATATTATCCATCTTGGTGCTAAGCCCTTATATGATAGTAGTTTTCTGTAGCTGGGCAATGCAAATACACAGAGGAAACAAAGTGGGGAAATATTCTCCCTTTGCAAATATTAACATTTTTTCATGAATATACTATGGACTGCAGTTAGATACATAGAGTCAGTGGCAAACAGGCATCGCAGTAGATCAACTATACACAGATATTTTCAGAAAGTGAATGGACATTTCAGTAGTGCTAAGAACTGAGGAGGCTGATGGCTCAAATACAATCAGGCAAATACTTCCCCCCCACCCCAAACACCATTGGAAGCCTCCTGACATGGCCATCCTTCCATTTTAGAACTCCATCTAAATTACAAGATTATAACTTGTATTATAATTAATTATATTGCACAGAAGACTCTTCATATAACCTGGAGATGTAGATAAATAATACTCTAAGAGATTTTTTTATAAAGGCTCATAAGATTATCTTCATTTTGCTGATAAGGAGAGATGTTAACAACAATTTTGAGAGATTCTGCTGAATCATTGTGTTTCTATTTCAGCAAGATTATTTTTTTCGCTTAGCATTTCTGAAGTGCCAAGCATTTTGCTTGAAGTCATATAGTGAGGTGGGGTTTTTTTACTCAATTGCCGTTATTCACAACAGTCTAAGGTACTTAGATAACAAAACAATGATCACTTGTCACCTGTGCATTTTTGATTACAGAACAGATGCCTCTACTTTGAGATTATGCACATACTTGTTTCTGTGAGCAACTTACTGGTTGTTTCTTCTGTCCGCTTTCAGCTTTAAAGACAAGCAAATCATGAATTTTCTCATTGTATACTTCAAAAAAGCTCATTTCAAGATGATACAAAATCTAGTAAAATTAATAATAGAAGTGTTAATAATATAGTCCACAAAACATTTTCATCATCCTTTGCTTCAAAAGTTAACCTAGATTACCAGATCCTGCTATTCAATGTTAAAAGCATTTGTACTGAAGGGACTTTCCAAGAGAAATGATACCCTAAACCAGGGATCTGCTATTGCCAAGAACACAATTTATTGGAATTCCATCCACAGCCATTCCTAGATGATAGCTATCAAGCTTAAAAAAAAAAAATGTATATACATCCACCTCAGAAGTTTCAGTGTTGGGTTTTTAGTACATGAGAATGTAGTTTTGTTTGCACCTGCAGCCGTCTCATTCCCTTAGGAATTGCGCTTCTACAGCACGATACACGTAACAGAGAAGGCATGGATTGATGTTGTCAACATCCTGACATGGAACAGAATGACCTAACGGAAAGATAAACCTTGATTCTACCTACAGCAATTTTAAAAAAGTACTAAACAACAAACTTTTCATGAAAATACATCTCCTTCCTCTGAAGGTATCCAAGTCTTTTTTCCTTTTTTTTTTTCTTTTTTAAATAAAATTGAATTTCCTTTAAGAGACAAGGAAGATTGCAGCAAAAAACCTAAAACATTGAAGTAAAAAATACAAGATTCGAGACAATTTGCAGCAACAGAATCACTTATTCAGAACGCATAAGCAAAGGAATAACAAACATATCTAGCAGCTCTGCATTTTTTAGAAGTTATACTCTCTAGCCAAACTCAGTAATAAATAACCTTCGCAGATTTCTCAGCGTCTATCAAATCTACTGTAGGATCAGAATATTACGTGTTCACTGGTATTAGTATTCAAAGTCAAGAATTCAAGCATAAAGCAATACAGAAATTTGGAATAGTTAAAAATAGAAAAGTTTGCCTGCATAAGCTTAACTGAATGTTAAGGTCTACAGACCTGCGAGTCAGTCCTTACAGTCGCGGACAAACATACAGAGAAAAAGAATACAAAGAACAGCCCTCGTCACCAACATGTTTTGCATCAGATACTCCTTATCCAAGAAAGAGTGCAAATATAAGTTTCTAAGCCTTTTCGCAATTTTAAGAGACATTCAGAGTTTCTAACCACAAATTATGACTTGTGTTATTACTACAGAAAGCTTTAGGTGCGCAATTCAAATCTCAGGTGCTGTACTGCAGTCAAGCTGGTTCCTCAAAAGTGATTCTGTACCAGAAATTCGGTCTTAGAAAAGCCTCAACAACAGTCAGACAGAAAAACAAATATACCTGAAGAATTCCCACAAACAAACCCCCTGCATTCTCAGTTTGGATCTTTTCTTCTTAAGGCATGAAATGAGTAGTTTAAATTCTCCACACACCCCCCCCCCAAGAGTTTAAGTTAATTGTGTCTCCAGTTATGATTCTCTAAATGTACCATTCCTACACCAATTAATTGGGGCAGAAACAGAATGTAACCCTTCATTCTGGAAAGGATTACTACTATGTTGTTTTTAAATCCACATACCATAGCCCTAGGACAGGAATTCAAATCAAAATACATTGTGATCAGATGAAATGTTCCCACCCCCTCTCGGAAGACCACTCTTTCATGTAGAGTTATGTATGAATAAAGATCTATTCTCAAAACAGAGAAGAAAACAAAACATTATTTACAATGAAAATTTTAAATTCTTTAAAAAAAAAAATCCAGGTGGGGGTAGTTGATTTTTTTTTTTTTAATTTCAGCAAGAATACTGAGCTAGAATACTAGAATTAGAATACTATTAAAGAGTATTTCACTTTGATATGTGACAATATTCAGAGATAAATTCTTATTTTTTGAGTTCTGTTTTATATGCCTCCACTGAAAGTATGGAACCCACTAGGATTTCTTTTTACCTTTCCTTACATAAATCTTATCTTGTAAGACATGCTATATAGAGGAAAGAATCCTAGTCTAGTGACACATCAAATATATCATGCTGATATTTCTTTTTTACATTACTGTCATTAAGGAAACAAAACAATGTTGATTTTGACTATTTAGGGAATCCTGTTGATCAGAGCTACTAGCAGAAGTAAAATTTGAATCAGCAAAAGAACACAGACATTAATAAATGGATCAGCACTAAGGTATAAAATGAAAGAATGAAACAGGTATCAAAATACTGAAACGCATCAGTTTCCTCATAATTCAATATAAGGTCAATAGCATAAGCATACTACCTGTTGCTTGTCCATTTGTGCTATTCGAGTGAAAAGATCTTCACAAAGTCTTGGAATTATTCCTCGGTCTTCATCAAATCCCATCATCCTGTAGTTACAAAAAAATGCTAGTTCAGTTTTGTAACCCTCTATAGCTAGTTTTAATATTAATTGTATAGCTCTAAAGTTGAAATGCCATATGCTTCTAAGTTATAGAAGAAATAAGCGACAGAAATAAACCTGATCTAAGTTGGTGCTTGTTTGAGCAGGGAGTTGGACAAGATGACATCCAGAGGTCTTTTCTAATTCAGCCACTGAGAAACGGGTTGAAAACCGAAGTTGAACAAAAACCCTACAACAACCGAAGAGTAAGCTTTACTATAAACAGTAAACCTATAGACCTTTGCATGCATTTTACATTCTCTGCACCCTGCCAGTGCAGTAACCTAAGCCCCTCTCCACCTCTGGCATAGTTCTTTCCTGTCTAGTTCTGCCGCTGCAGAACACCAGTGTACCAGACTAGCTCAGCTACAGTCTAGAGACACAGGCAGCCGCACAACATAGTTGTCAGCAGAAGTTTGTTGCGTAGACCTGATGAGACAGTTATTACTGATATTAATTTCAGCCTTGCTGAAAATACAAAGGGGCAAAGGTCAGTAATTGTCTACCTGAAGGTGGAGGAAGAGAAAAAAACACAAACCTACAAATAGGATAACAATTGCAATATTGAGCATACCTTTCTTGTAGGCCAAGGTAAATAAACATTACAAGTAAAAATAGAGTTTCCACTTAAAAAGAAAATCCTACCTCTATATAAGTTCTATACCTATGATAAATTGAGTAAAAACATAAAATTGTGATAAATTGAATAGAAACATTTCTGATCCTCAACTACATATTTAGAAGTCTATAGTACTTCATGGGAATTATAAACCTCATAGAACTGATTTTAATAGATACACGGTTAGAAACAAAACCCTTCAGTAGGCATTCTATTGAAAAATATACAGAAGGTGTATGAAATTGGCTATAAACCCTCAAAACATTATTTGTCTGGGATTATTTTGGGTAAAGATTAGATTTCAAATAAGCAGTGCCACAAACGTGGATTTATTTATTTAAAGTTCTGAAGCAGTCAGGACCATAATTAGAAAGATCTCTGAAAGGTCTTTTCCAAAAAGCATAATATACTTTAGAACATGTCACTTCACGCACAAAATAATAAACAGTGGTGAACAGCAGCACTGGGAGAGCCCAAGAAGCTCTCAGCATTAATAAAGGTTTTTCTTCACTAAGATCTCTGGAAAGAGCTTTTCTTTTCTTCACTAGACGTAGAAAGAGGTCAGTGTCAGATATATAAAAATATTCTACAGCTAACTTTATCTCAATTATTATAAATATTGTTTTAATTATTTTTAATTTGTTTTAAAATATGCAAAAACATTTTAACGCAATCCAATAACTATGAATTCTATTCCATATAATCTCTTTTCATTACTATAGATTGCATAACAATTAGCTCCTACAGAATTTTAGCAGTTATTATTAGGAACTTACGTGTATGATTTTCCAGAACCAGTCTGCCCGTAAGCAAAAAGACAAGTGTTATATCCCTCAAAAGCTCTTTCTAGGAGTGGCACTGCCAAAGTTTTATAAATCATTGCTTGGCTTGCAAAATTAGGGTGACACTTGTCAAAAGACCAGAAAGAGAAGTCATAACTGAAGCTGTAAACTTGATTTGTGGCTGGATTTCGTACAGCTGTCTCCGAACCACTCATGGAGATTACAGGGAGTGAGTTTTCATTTTTCTCTCTGAATGGAAGGGGGAAAAACAATTAAAAAATTAAAACGCATAAGCTACATGCTTTAAGTTAGTCATTTCAATCAACTGCCTTATGAAAAATAAAAGTTCGGTAATCGTTGTTAAAAAAAAACCGTTTGATGAACATACAAAGTATTCAAGCTCAAAATACTTCAGCTAATGAATATGTAAAAAATAGCCCCAAACACCTGTAAAGTGAATTCAACCTCTTAATAAAATCTTTATCTTGATGTTGCATGAAATACCAGCTAATTTCAAAGTATGTATTATACCCTTATTGGGTCAATGATTAAACAATTAAAAAAAATAGAAAGCAGGAATCAACATACACTATAAAAGCTACTATTAACATCAGAAATAAGTCCAGGATACAAACCTGTTACTGAAAGGCCGTACACGCGCAGCTACAATCACTTTGCTGTTTTCCACTTTAAAAACATCTTTCTCAGCGCTACTGCTCTCAGCTAGAGTTTCTGTGTTCTCTTTTGTTTTTGAACTTCTACTCACAGAAGGAGAGCTGAAGACACCAGTTTTCTTTTTGGCTAGAATTTGAAGATGAGGTGTTTGTTTATTTGAAGCGGACAGAGATGGTTGATCCTGAGAAGTGCTGTTCTTTGGTGTAAGCTTAAACCCTTCTGTTGAACCTTTTGTTGGTGTCCTTGGTCTTTCCAAACCATTATGTTTTATAATCAAGTGTTGCAACCTTTGCTTTCCAGCTAGCTTATCTGTATCACCTTTTTCATTCAGTTGTTCTCCTGATACCCTATTAATATATTTTGAGGTAACTAGTTGTTCTGATTTAGGAACTTCATTTGGGTATTTTGTGTCAGCAGCGCTTGTCCTATATTTTAAACGCTTGCAGCTATCATTTTCACACAGACCATCAACAAAGCCAAAGGAATCCTTGCTGTTCAGGTTAGACTGCACCTTCGAGCTTGACTGACCCTCAGCAATCTTAAAGCTTGATTTAACATCATGGGTATCATCCTTATTAACATTTGGTGGAAGTGCAATCTTGTAGTTTCTTTGTGCAGCCGAGTCATTATTTTCTAGTCCAGGCACAGTATTCTGATTAATTTTACTCTTCTCTATGGAGCCAGTCCTCACACGCCTCTGGAGAGTAAGTTTTTTCTCCATTTGTGTATTTTCCATGCCCTGTGTTGCGATTGTATGCAATTGTTCACTACTGGACACTGATATTTTGCTTGCTCCAGTTCTCCTCTGGAGTGTTAATCTGCCTTCGAGTTTAAGTGTGGTTGATGTGTCACTCACTTTTTTACAGGCTGAAATCACGTAGGTCCTATTTAGTTCCTCAGTCTTATTCTGAGAACATGAAGGTAGACTATCCTTTTCTTCTCCTGACACCTGTGATTTCAGTTGCTGCCCAGATGTTTTGCTGCTGGTATTCTGTGAAGAAGTCTTCTGCAAAGCGGTAGCACGCTGTGCCTCAGGGAGGCTTCTCGCAGGGACTGTGTAAATAGGCATTTTGTCTTCCAGCGAGTTAACATTAGGTTTTTAATAAGTACACCACCTTTACTAAAAGATTATTTCTAGTTGCTTCTTCTTATGGAATCTGGGGAGACAAAGCAAAAATTTTTATGATGCTCACATCCAGTGTGACTTATGTTCTGGTGCATGGGGAGCTCTTTGCATATACTGCAGTAAATCTATGTCCCCAAACATTAATAACAATTAGTATCCTGTTTCACCTCCAGCACTTAAAAAAAAAAAAGCCATTCTTCTATATTTGAATGACTGCTTCCACCAATAGTAGGCTATTTGATTCCATTTATTGAGTTCTATGATTTGTTTTGGAAAGTAAACCAAACGTCATGAAGAAGCACCAGTTGGTACAAAGAATGATCTAACTATCTAGCAACAAAGATCACCATTGACATTTCTTCCAAATGATCTACCGTGATCCCCAAAGAGAGGGCATTCAAGATCGTGCCTCCATTTGCTCGCAGCTATTTACGCTCTTGGTGTTTCACAACTAACAGACTCCAATAGGACAACAGAATCATTAACGTTGCATAGGAAATCCGTGAACACAGAAAGCAGAATTTTTTCAGGATTTTTATATATAATACAAAGCCCACTCTCAGAACAGGACAGTTAATAAAGATGACTATTACCATGTGTTTGGATATTATTTTAATCCACTATAGTACATGCACGCCTAGCAAAACAAAAAGATACCTAGCCTAGGGGACAGAAGAAAAACTGTAAAATGTGTTCCACACCCTTTCTACATGTAAATATTTAGAAAGCTGTATACATCCCATCTGGTATAGAAAGGTATACTTTCACTGTTGCATATGTATCATAGTTATCAGATTGTTACAGGTTTGACATCACTACCCACTACACACTTGCCAACTGCAATTAATTTGCTATTAAAAGTCAACAAGAAGTCACCTGCCTTAGACCCTTCCAAAACTGCATATATCATTAACAGAAGCAGCAGATGGTCAGGGGAAAAAAGGGAAAGCAAGATGATAGCAAGTGATGTAGAAGCAACCATTTAACCATTGCTCCAATAGAAGTTTCTTTTAATGCTGCACTTTTAAGTTACAGCTTTTGGAGTACTCTCAGAATTTATGCGATTACATCCACTGCTACGTGTGTCATGACTGCACAAAGTTTTCATAGCTCAAAAGCTGTGAGGGAAGTTTCAAGAATTTCAGACCAGAGCGTATTTATTGCTGTGTGATACAGGAAACTACTTACGATATGCGAATTAGAAAACACGCGTTTTGTGGGCTGCATCTAGCAGTCAGTAAAGAAAGAAACATGCTTGTGAGCCACGAACTGTTTTAGTGTTTTCTGAAAAGACCACCTTTTCCATTCAGCTTTAAAATTACTAGCGTAAGAACAGAAGCCCTCCCCGCCTGTTGCTATAGCCGTGCCTTGCAAATATTCACAAAGCTTTCCTGTAGAAAACTTAAACCTCCCCATCGGAAGCTCCTTCATCCTAAAATAAGAAATAAGGTTCAAGACTTGTTAGAAGTACACTCGTTCCTCATTTTTAGTTGATACTAGAGATGAAACCCAAGTGTTCAAAGCTGGGTGAAAACGTAGGAAAAACCGGCACCTCCGCTACCCT